TTTACCTGCAGACAACTGGACAACCTTCCTGTCCAACCACAGTACTTATGAGCCTGTGCTGTTAGCTAGCCCCAGACCAGCAGAACCCAATCAGCTCCCAACACACTCACACCAACAGAGAGCACTGCTGGCTACGATTATGCAGGACCTAGGCCTTCACGATGGGATCCAGCGGGTGTTCTTTGGAGGTAGCTTGTCTTTTTGGCTGCACAAGCTGCTGTTCGTGGATGCCATAGGTTATTTAACTGGCAGAAGGCTCAGCCTCTCGTTGGACAGATTTTTGCTTGTGGATGTGGATGACATCTTTGTCGGGAAGGAAGGGACACGCATGAAAGTGGCAGATGTTGAGGTACGAACCTTAAAATGTTATTGGATATACTTGCTTGCCAAAACTACCATCACTGTTGCTATTAGTCATATAAAGTGACAGGGCTGTATGATGTGGAGAAAAAAAATAGAATCACGTTTTTTGTAATGCAATGGAGCATGGTATTCTTCTTCTTTCACCATCTCCCTCTCTCTCTCACGCTCCTTCTCTCTCTCCCATCTCCTGAGAGTGAAAGAAGGCTCTCGCTGAAGGCTAGCATGGGGCTAATTAGACTGGCTCACTTTTTAATTTGAGCAGATAAGTTCTCATAGGGGGTTCTTTGTGGCCCACCACACCAAAAGCAATGTCATGCCTGAGGTTTTCGGTTTCACATTTCTCTTTCATTTTTCTCTCTCTTTCCCATGCTTTTTCCCCCCGGTAAGAGCTATTTTCATCTTTTGTTCTATCCTTATTTCTTCTCACCCTTTATCTTCCTTGCCTTTCTTGTCTCTGCATGATCTGCCCTCTTTTATCTACCTTTTCTCCAACCTGCATTTGTATAATATCAAAATAATATACTTGATATAACTAGGACTGCCAGTATTGCTGGCGGACTATGTGATGGTAGAAATGTGTCGAACCTGAAACCTTTATACTATGCTAAATATATTTGTGTGGCTATCAGGACCACTTTATGCTATCTAAACTTGAGGGGAAAAAACACTTGATTAATGCGAAAATAGAGGGCAAAATGGGTCCAAGTCAGGATGAGAAAGAACCTGAATATAACGTTTAGATGATTACAATTGTTTATGTTGCATCTGCCACATTAATAGAGAATTGAAATGATGTGCGGTCACAGCTTTGAATGTGACTCGTCCAATCAAGAGTTTAATACTTATCCAAAATAGGTTTTAATGCATAGTAGTAGTATATATATATATATATATATATATATATACACACAATAGTCTGTTAAATTCTGGCAAAAATCACTGTTTTTCTAAGATATCATCACTGACTCGTATTGTGATATTCATTCCGCCCATTCTTAGTTGTAACCTACAGTAGCTTCATATGCCCCAAAATAATGATGCTCATCTTCTCTGTTATTTAGACAATATATGATTAAGTATGTTTGAGCCAGTTGAAATGTTTTTTTTCCCTCCTCACTAGGCGCTGCTTCACACACAAAATAAACTCCGTTCTCTGGTACCTAATTTCACCTTCAACCTGGGATTCTCTGGCAAGTTTTTTCATACAGGTATGATGGAGTTGATGTTGTGTGAGTTATACAGATAAAACTCTCTCCACCTCCACACGCTCATTCATTGTCTCTTGTTCTTCAGGCACAGATGAGGAAGATGAGGGTGATGACACGCTGCTCAGACACCGGCAGGAGTTCTGGTGGTTCCCACACATGTGGAGTCACATGCAGCCTCATCTCTTCCACAACGTCAGCGTACTCGCAGAACAGATGAGACTTAATAGACAGTTTGCATTGGTCAGAATCTGCCCTGATACATGCCAAATAATGTCGTTGAATTTTTGATTCTGAATAATTTGCATGGCTATACATGAATGTCTCTTTCAGGAGCATGGGATCCCCACAGACATGGGTTACGCTGTAGCCCCCCATCACTCAGGTGTGTACCCTGTGCACAGTCAACTTTATGAGGCCTGGAAGAGCATATGGGGCATCAAGGTAACCAGCACAGAAGAGTATCCTCATCTCAGGCCTGCACGCTACCGCAGGGGCTTCATTCACAACGGCATACAGGTGAGAACTCAAGTTCAGCTATCTCTCGTGGGGCAGTTACAAATATGTCTCTGTGTTAGACTGAATGCAACAGAATGCAGCAGGCACAGAATGTGTTTTTAAAAGTGCTATTGTTAAATGCGCAAAAAGATGAATAAATAACAACTGCGATGCAACGGATAAAGACATCCATCTGAATGTATGTGGCTCACCAGAGGTGCTTTTAAAAGAGATTCATTTAAAGACGTGTGTAATGATTGCTGTCTAACAGCGAATGCATGCAGCACGCTGTCAACAATGACAGGTATTAATGTGTCAATTATAAACTGTAACAGTTCTGTCTTTTGGGTATGCTGATACCTTTATTCAGAGCAAATGGGCTTGGTATCTTTTTTTGCAGTGGAATATCTTTTTAAAGATAGTGGTATCACTTTACATTAACGTTTCATTTAATCAAAATTAGTTAATTCATTAAGTATCATAAACTTTTACAGCATTTCTTAAAAAAGATCAATGGTCAAATGTTTGGAATAATAAAAATGTCTTAATTTTTGTAAAAAACATTCTTAATTCTTAATCTAATGTTCACCGAGACTGAATTTATTTGATAAAAAAAAACAGTAATATTTTGAAATATTATTGGAATTGCAACATTTCTATATTAATATATTTTAAAATTGATTTAAAATGCATTCATATGATGGCAAAGCTGTATTTTCAGCAGCCATTACTCCTGCTGGGTCACATGATCCCTCAGAAATCATAGTACTATATGATGATAGCTTCTCAATTATTATTGTGGCTCAATTACTAATAATGGTTTTATTATCATCAACATTGAAGTTTTTGTTGCCTAATATTTTTGTGGAAACCATCCACATCCATTGTGCGGTCGCGTCCTGGTTCACCGCGGGGCCCGGTGCGACCGCACAAGTTGCACCCCCCCTAAGGACGGCCCTGATGATACCATTGCATTAACTAATTTGAACAAATCAAGCCTTATTGTAAAGTTAATATTTTCCATCAAATATTCTGAATATAAGAAAATAAGTCCCAAGATTGCTCTCATTTCTGTTTTGTGTATCAGGTTCTCCCTCGGCAGACCTGTGGGCTTTTCACACATACCATCTTCTATAAAGATTATCCAGGAGGCCCTCAGGAGCTGGACAAGAGCATCCATGGAGGAGAGCTGTTTCTTACAGTTCTGCTCAATCCGGTTAGTGTCACACCCACAAAGACACACTAGCCCAAATACAGCCAACACCTAAAATAATGGTGTAATATGACAAACGTTGTCTTGTTGACCTACTTGTCTCTGTCCTCTCCCATGGCTAGGTTAGTATATTCATGACTCACCTGTCAAACTACGGCAACGACCGGCTGGGCCTGTACACCTTTGAGTCACTGGTGAGGTTTGTGCAGTGCTGGACTCACCTGCGCCTGCAGACGCTGCCTCCCGTCCGCCTCGCTCAAAAATACTTCCAGATTTTCCCTGATGAGAGAGACCCTTTGTGGCAGGTTTGTGCAATTACATTTTCATGGTTATTACTGGGTGAATCTCACAGAGGCTGCAAAGACATCATATTTTGCCCCAACATCAATCATCAATAATAAAGTGACATTATTTTAAATATTATAATAAAATGTAATTCTAAATTATTTTGCATGTTATTACAACCAACATGGTTCTATAAATAGGCTTATTTGTCAGCGGGCAGTTTAACTGTTCAGGACAAACAAGGGACTCATAAACAACTATCATAAAACAAACAAACAAACAAAAACGGCTGTGGATCATCCAGGTAACAACACAGTATTAAGAATCAATTGTATGTAAACTTTTGAACGGGGTCATATCTATATGTAAACATATATAGTGTGCAATATCTTAATTCTTAGTTTTATTTGAAATTAATTTGCAAACACAAATTTTGACAAACTCTCTGCAGTACCTGTGGATCGCCTGTTAAAATTAAAAAATGAATGTTTTCATGTTTATGTAATGAACAGAAAAACTTGTTACAAGTGATTTATGTTAGTCTCATATTCATTTATGCTCACATTATACTTACAAATACTCCCCCTGATAAACAGAACCCGTGTCATGACAAGAGACACAAAGACATCTGGTCCAAAGAGAAGACCTGTGACAGACTGCCCAAGTTTCTGGTGATTGGCCCTCAAAAGACTGGTAACACAAAACCTCTAAATATGATTGTTCATTTATTTAGTTTTTAAGTTCGATATGCATTGTGTTTTGAACATAAATGTGAAGTTGTTTGCAGTAACAGAAGCGTCTACCCATGTTGTTTGTCAGTCATTGAAACCATACAAGACTAATATACAATTTAATAATAAGCCAGGCTTTATGATGTAGAACACTTCATTCTACATATACGTAAGTCACAGAACAGAGAACATTTCCAAGAAATGTGATTAATATTTGATCAAAGCAGCTTTATGCGGTGGTGTCATGCTCTTTCTGCAGGAACTACTGCGCTGCACTCGTTTCTTGCCCTTCATCCTGCAATTACCAGCAGCTTCCCTAGCCCCGTCACCTTTGAGGAGGTGCAGTTCTTCAGCGGACCAAACTACCAGCGTGGCATTGACTGGTAACCATGGAAACCCCATCCATACCTCATTTTCTTTGTTCTTCATTTTCAAATCAGATACCAATTTTTAAAAAGCCTTACTCACTGGCAGAAATCATTTTTGGATCATGCTAAATGTATCATCAATTTTAGATTTTTAGCGTGTATGTTGCGTCTTAGAAAGCATGACTATTATTAATGCTTAATTTATATATCACTGGATGAGAATAGATCAAATATTCAGATATGCAGTTTTGCATGGTAGATAAAACAACAATTTAATAATTTCTGTAAATTTTTACTGAAAGACCCACTGAAGGACTTCATTCTACATATACGTAAGTCACAGAACAGAGAACATTTCCAAGAAATGTGATTAATATTTGATCAAAGCAGCTTTATGCGGTGGTGTCATGCTCTTTCTGCAGGAACTACTGCGCTGCACTCGTTTCTTGCCCTTCATCCTGCAATTACCAGCAGCTTCCCTAGCCCCGTCACCTTTGAGGAGGTGCAGTTCTTCAGCGGACCAAACTACCAGCGTGGCATTGACTGGTAACCATGGAAACCCCATCCATATCTCATTTTCTTTGTTCTTCATTTTCAAATCAGATACCAATTTTTAAAAAGCCTTACTCACTGGCAGAAATCATTTTTGGATCATGCTAAATGTATCATCAATTTTAGATTTTTAGCGCGTATGTTGCGTCTTAGAAAGCATGACTATTATTAATGCTTAATTTATATATCACTGGATGAGAATAGATCAAATATTCAGATATGCAGTTTTGCATGGTAGATAAAACAACAATTTAATAATTTCTGTAAATTTTTACTGAAAGACCCCCTGAAGGACTTTTTTTTTTTTTTTCAAATTTGGACCACCTAGGAATACCTTAGCAACCACTCAGAACAACCTAGCAACTGCATAAGAACATGTTCAAAACAGCATAGACAACACATAAATGATCTAATTTACCTAACATAATATTACCTAATTTGGTTCTGCTCAGTTCAAAAATATCAATAAAAACTTTCCATCACATACAGTTTTTATTGTATTTTTTTCACGGAATAAGAATAAAGATTTTTGAAGTCATATATATGTAACAGATTTAATGCACATAGAAAAATAAAAGCAGTCAAATCCACTGAAGGACTTTTTTTTTTTTTTTCAAATTTGGACCACCTAGGAATACCTTAGCAACCACTCAGAACAACCTAGCAACTGCATAAGAACATGTTCAAAACAGCATAGACAACACATAAATTATCTAATTTACCTAACATAATATTACCTAATTTGGTTCTGCTCAGTTAAAAAATATCAATAAAAACTTTCCATCACATACAGTTTTTATTGTATTTTTTTCACGGAATAAGAATAAAGATTTTTGAAGTCATATATATGTAACAGATTTAATGCACATAGAAAAATAAAAGCAGTCAAATATTAAACATTATTAATGACAAAAATAAGTTTTCAAAATGTATTTATTAAACATTATTAATGACAAAAAGAAGTTTTCAAAATGTATTTATTAACTTGCAAAAGAGTGGAAAATATGTTCAAATACTCCATTTAATATCAAAGAGCTTTACATAAACACAAGGTATAAATAAATATGTATGTTGCTGTTTAGATGTAGTAAAACACCCACAGCGCAGAAAACATCTGGATCATGTTTGCATTTTCTTCTGTCAGTGGCCATAATTCTAACCTTGAAATCAGGATTGGGCATAAAATAACATCTTCAGAATCATTCATACACATAAAAAAAATGTAACAAATAGCTGTATGCTGGCTCAGAGGAAGACAGGAATCAAGTCATTGTTGCAGTTTTTTGGGATAATACAAGACTTCTTCACCTTACAAATGGTTGTCAAAAGAAAAATGCTACAAAATGTACATCATATTTGTCAGAATGAGTGACATGTTAGAGCAAAACAAGCAAAACAAAGTTTCATTGTTGCAGTTTTTTGGGATAATACAAGACTTCTTCACCTTACAAATGGTTGTCAAAAGAAAAATGCTACAAAATGTACATTATATTTGTCAGAATGAGTGACATGTTAGAGCAAAACAAGCAAAACAAAACAAGTTTCTGTTTTTAAATCTGCACCCCAAAATCAGTAAGAAACAAGTATTGGATTTCATTCAGCAACTGTGATTTAATAAATTAAAATAAACAACATAATATATCTTAGTGAATTCCTCTCTTAATCTTTTACCGATCTTGGATTTTTTCCTTTAGCATGAGAGTGTATGTTAATTCTGTCTGTCTTGTCTCAGGTATATGGATTTTTTCCCCATACCATCAAACGTGAGCACAGACTTTCTGTTTGAGAAGAGCGCAAACTACTTTGACACTGAAGTTGCCCCAAAGAGAGCAGCCGCCCTGTTACCAAGAGCCAAAATCATTTCTATACTCATCAACCCTGCTGACCGCGCGTATTCCTGGTACCAGGTGCGTTTGGTTAGTTAGCATGATTCCGAGCCCCTGCTGGTAGATGTTGTAACTACACTGTCTGATGTAAAATTTATTTATATTTAAAAGTGACGTGGCCAAGTATGGTGACCCACACTCAGAATTAGTGCTCTGCATTTACCCATCCAAAGTGCACACACACACAGCAGTAAACACACACACACCGTGAACACACACCCGGAGCAGTGGGTAGCCATTTATGCTGCGGCGCCCGGGGAGAAGTTGGGGGTTCGGTGCCTTGCTCAAGGCACCTCAGTCGTGGTATTGAAGGTGGAAGAGAGCGCTGTACATTCACTCCCCCCACCTACAATCCCTGCCGGTGTTAGACTCGAACCCACAACCTTTGGGTTATGAGTCCAACTCTCTAACCATTAGGCCACGACTTCCCCTGGAAATTTAACTTTTTCTGTCTGCTGCCTTTGATGTCACATTGATTTCTTGAGTCCACACACACACACATGCCTACAGCCGACTTCTGGAACTAGTTACACTACTATTAACCTAGCCAGGTGTGCACACAAAAGATCTGTCTCTTAAAAGAACTCTTTTCATCTTCGTCAGCAACAGTGTTCAAAACATGCCTAAATAGACAATATAATAGCAGCTAAGGCACACAAGACTGGTTCAGCTGGATGCTGTCTTTATCACTGCATGGCACTTATAAAAGCTGTTAATTTTTTGCCTTAGTTTATCTGTTAGTGGAATTCATAAATAAAATAATGTTTTAATGACACATATTAAATTTTAAATATATAAAACCGATAAAATATTGTAGAGCTTGGCATAACTACGTTCAAAAGCATGGTTGGTAATAAAAAAAAGAACAGTGACCCCAAACTTTTGAACAGTAGTGTAAATTTATAAAATGTAAAAATAAAAAGATAAAGGCATATGTATTTGAGTTATTCATTTTCAAGTCCTTTTTTCTGTTTTAGCTTATTTTCATACTTGTTTTGTCTTTTTCCAAGTCATTTTTAGTAATCTTAAAGCCCCCTTGGAAGTTTGCTTAGGCCCCCTAGTGGACCCCAGGCCCTTGTTCATTTATAAATGTATTACTGAAAACACTGTGTTTACATTATTTTTACACTGTTTACACAGTTTACATTAATTTGAGAAATAACCTAGAATATTCAGACATATAAATGTGTGCACGCGCACACACACACGCTGACTTTTTATCTCAAAAATTTGACGTCAAAATTGACTTTTCATAATTTTGAATGTCATAATTTCAACTTTATCTCAGAAGTTTGACTTCATGTCAATTGATCAAAATATGATATAAAAATGGCAAAAGTCAAAATTATAATAAAAAGATAGTATCTCATAATTTTGACTTTTTGTCACACAACGCCAGCTGGAGCTGATAAGAACCTGCATAATGAGAACCACAGCAGAACCCTGCTCCACACAGGAGAACTCAGGGCCCGTGTGCGGCAGGAGCCAAAAGAGGACTGACCCCTCTCGCCCTCCATACTCCGCACGGGCTCTGATGGAATAGACGGGCCGATCACGCTGTCAGTCTGAATGAAGCCCTCAGAGTAAGAGGAGAAGCCCTCAACCCCGTTATGGGAACTTATAGTGGACGTTCACGGAGTCATGGATACGGAAATGGGAGCGACCCGATTGGACAGCTTTAAAAAGACTTCTAGAGTGGTTAAATATCAGTTGTGAACTGGCTGTTTTTAAATGGAAATATAGTCTTCTAGGAAGAGAGGGAAGCGCACAGAACATCTAGGAGCATTTTGTGCAAATACCCATGAAAGGAAGGGGCTATGAGAGGATTATTTAAATTTTAGTCTCAAAAGTCTTTAACTCTGCCAAGCAGAGAAGTATTTAAATATGTGTCTCATAAATGTGGCTGATTTTCTTTTTTATCGAATGAACTGTGCAAATGTTTCTTTATTAAAATTCTCATTTGACTAGCTACATTATTGTCCAAGAGTTTGGGGTTGGTAAGATTTTAATGTTTTTGAAAGAAGCCTCTTGTGTTCACCAAGGCTGCATTTATTTGAGTAAAAATACTGTTAAAAAAATAAGTAATATTGTAAAATATTATTACAATTTAAAATACCTGTTTTCTAGTTTAATCAATTTATAAATATTTTATATTGTATTCCTGTGATAGCAAGCAGCCATTACACCAGTCTTCAGTGTCACATGATCAAATATGCTAATTTGTATCAAACCTTGATGTATTTTTCTAAGTCTAAAAAAACAGCATTTATTTGAAATAGAAATATTTTATGCAACAAATGTCTTGCATGTCACTTTTTATATTTATGCATCGTTGCTGAATAAAAGTATTCATTTCTTAAAACTAAAATCTTACTTACCCCAGACTTTTGAACACTAGTGTTTGCGATCTGCAGATAATATCTCCAATTCTGGTTTTTATTATAACTTTGTTTTAACTTGAAATGTATCATGGATGGAAAAGGCCATTTCAAAAAGCAGTACGGTAATCTCAAGTGATGTTAATTTAAAAATGTATATTTTAAAAATCTAAAAGTTTGAGTTTTTTTTATATAATTAAAACTTTCAAGTATGGCAGCTATTTGGATGGTTATATTAGCAGCATACTACCATCATTCACGAATGATTCCAATACCTGTGTGGAGCTGATACTTATGTAAACCAATCCAAATCACATCATCCACAGTGTTCTGCAATAATACTTTGGTAAGTAGATAGGAAGAAAGCAAACTAGATTTTGGAACAGTCTAATATCAGTGCAGCCCAAAGTGAAACTCTTTATCTGTGCCTTTTTTTTTTTTTGGCCAAAATGAGAACTGCGTTATGCTGTATTGCCAATGAGTGAGTGTGCATTGTGTATGTGTAGCAACAGTTGGATACATAAAAATGAATCAACAGTAATGTGATCCCAAGTCATGTCTGGTGTTCAATTTAAGTGCACACATATTGGGAAATAAAGGCACAGAATGGACACGGGGATCTCATTTTTCTCTTCAATGTGTAAAGTGAGTTGAACTAGAGGGTTGAGTATCTTATCTGTGTTCCTGCAGTCTACTTTATCAGCTGAGAGGAAGAGTAGAGAGAGAGTTTGATTAATCACTGCACAGAAACAAGACACTCGCCCTCCATTTGAGAGCTTTGAGGCCCAGTCGCTGGAATGCAGGAAACAAAGCCCTTAAATAAGACTTGCTCAGGTCCACTGGGAGCCATCACAGACAGTACACTGTGTGCTTGAGGGGAGAGAAGGAAAAAATAAATGGTGTGCACTCTATAAAGTGCCTATGTATCTGAACGCAGACACGCACCATTGATGCAGCAAATGCTGCTTGTATTAAAATATTACTTTGGGGCCGTTTCCTAGTACATCTTTACAGTTGGGCACCTATCAAAGCTATAAGCGCTTCCACGTTCCATTCCTTTTACCGTGAAGGTACATAAGTGTGCATGTACAATAAAAAAGGGAAGGAGATTTTATGGCTGTTTCAAACAGCAAGCCCAGGCCTAAATAATTCACAGTACATTAAACATGGACATGTATAGTACATTTCATGGTTATTGGTTCATTAAGCACAGGTCATGCACTGAGGCCCATTAAAGGCAACAACCAGAACATTCAACAAGGAATGGGCCCCTTGAGATCCTAATGCGGTTTCAAAACTATATTATTGCTAACTTTTCTTACATTACTGCATTTGAGATAGCATTAGCATTGCTGTTCATGTGCTTTACACCATCTATAAGTGTGTTCCATTAATAGGCACCATACAACAGTATGCTACTAGCATTTGACTTCACTTGAGCAATTAAAAAAAAAACTGAGGCTCTTGTGGCGGTCAAAAAAATACAGATTTGTATTGCAGAATATTGCTCAAGTGAAAAAAAAAACGTTTAAAGTGAATGTTTAAAAAAATTACATGTTGAAGTTTACTTTTATGCATAAAAATACTATTTTCAAATTTTATATGAAATATATATTTTCTACAACATGCTTTACTCTAAAACTGAGAAAATCAAAGAAATAAATCTAAACAAGTTGTTTCCCAATTTGAGGCTGATATCTCAAAAAAATTAGCTTTCAGTGAGATTTTGTTTGGGCACAGTACCAAATCTCTCCACTAGATGAAATTCTAATATTTCCAATGCAGTAATTTTTGACCAGGAGTAATTTTTTTGGGTAGAAAATGACGGAAAATCGCTAGAATGTCAATGCATACAACATTTTAAATCAGCACCAAACTTCTGAATGCACCTTCACGTTCTATGAGGCCTAGGCAACCAAAAAGGAAAGTTATATTATCATGCACATTGTAATAATATGCATAGATTAACCTTTCACAATAAGACCAGTGACATGTATCAAGCACATACAGTAAATGTTGATTTCATGTTGAATTTTACATTTGCACAAAGAAAACACAGAATCAGCTGCAGAAATGCTCTTTTTATTAAATGCTTTCCAGATCAAGTTTCAATAATAACAAAGCTATGATGAAGGCCTACTAACATTCAGACAAACACTTGATAGTTGTCATTTCATGGTTTTATTAAATGCATGATCATGCAAAAATCCAGCATCCATGTTTAAACTCCGAGTATATACGAAGCCCAATAGTATACCATTACAATGCAATAGATTTACTTAGAATGAGGGGAGCATACCAAGCAGAGGCTTTTGTTTTATATATTTTCACTATTTTCTACTTCTTTTTTTTTTCATTTTTAATGTTACATCACTTATAATTCCCAATGGAGTGATTTTCATGTCGAGATGCAAATACTATGAGATTTTTTCCCCCCTTTTTTATTAAGTAAACACAGACAGTGGAAAAAAAAATATTTACCAAGAAAAGTATACATGCATATTTGCCAGTTTATTTGATTTCTCCTGTCATTGGACGGGTGGGCCAGAAGACTCCTACGTCTGCCGTCTGGCCCAGGATTCAGACCAAGCTTTCAGGGGTGAGATATTTATTTAGCTAAATCTAAATCAGCCAGCTAGTGACTCCTCATAGCCATCTCAATCCTTTTCATT